ATAGTCACAGGTGACTGTCATAGTCACAGGTGACTGTCATAGTCACAGGTCACAGGTGACTGTCATAGTCACAGGTGACTGTCATATAGTCACAGGTGACTGTCATAGTCACAGATGACTGTCATATAGTCACAGGTGACTGTCATATAGTCACAGGTGACTGCCTATCAACCATCATCAGCAGATCTCTTGCAAGATGTGCTACATATCTTTCTATAGGATCTTACATGAGTTTCCATTTCATATGAGATTTATGAAACGAGTCTAAGAATTTTTCAATTGAGCGAGCCTCTGGCGAGCTAAAATGAAAAATATGTGAAGAGTTTCATAAATTATATGAAATGAAATGATAACGCGTGTTAGATCCTTTTTATCACATAATCAAGATTTGTGGCATTTATTCGTGTAAAACGACAATTTTCATGCAACCTTGAAATGTAAAATGCCGCCATTTTGACTCCAGTGCTTAAGTCTGTGACGTCATGTACTTGTCTTAGGCCTGCATTGCGTCACAATTGAAACAATTGAAACTTACAACCAATCACAGGGCTTATAGGTCATATTACATGGGATAATACGCAAAAAAATATGACGGGTATTTTCACTGGATAACACAGTACATTATGTGATAAAAGATATACAGAAAGCTTGTCCCTACATCAATGTCATTGTGTGGGATCATTTCCTGTTTGTTAGAGAATTTCACTGTGGAGGGCCACTTCTTGTTTATATGGGAATGTCACTGTGTAGGGCCACTTTCTGTTTATATGGGAATGTCATTGTGTAGGGCCACTCCCTGTTTATATGGGAATGTCATTGTGTAGGGCCACTCCCTGTTTATATGGGAATGTCAATGTGTAGGGCCACTCCCTGTTTATATGGGAATGTCAATGTGTAGGGCCACTCCCTGTTTATATGGGAATGTCACTGTGGAGGGCCACTGTCTGTTTATATGGGAATGTCACTGTGTAGGGCCACTCTCCGTTTATATGGGAATGTCACTGTGTAGGGCCACTTCTTGTTTATATGGGAATGGCACTGTGTAGGGCCACTCCCTGTTTATATGATAATGTCACTGTGTAGGGCCACTCCCTGTTTATATGATAATGTCACTGTGTAGGGCCACTCCCTGTTTATATGGGAATGTCAATGTGTAGGGCCACTCCCTGTTTATATGGGAATGTCAATGTGTAGGGCCACTCCCTGTTTATATGGGAATGTCAATGTGTAGGGCCACTCCCTGTTTATATGGGAATGTCACTGTGTAGGGCCCATTCCTGTTTATATGGAAAGTCTTAGTGTAGGGCCACTTCCTGTTTATATGGTAATGTCACTGGGTAGAGCCACTTCCTGTTTTTGGTAATGTCACTGTGTAGTGCCACTTCCTGTTTATATGGGAATGTCTCAGTTTAGAGCCACTTCCTGTTTATATGGGAATGTCTTAGTGTAGGGCCCATTCCTGTTTATATGGGAATGTCTTAGTGTAGGGCCCATTCCTGTTTATATGGTAATGTCACTGTGGAGGGCCACTTCCTGTTTATATGGTAATGTCACTGTGGAGGGCCATCTCTTGTGTCTGTGTATAGCCACTTCTTTTTATATGGGAATGTCACTGTGTAGGGCCACTTTCTGTTTATATGGGAATGTCACTGTGTAGGGCCACTTTCTGTTTATATGGGAATGTCATTGTGTAGGGCCACTTCTTGTTTATATGGGAATGGCACTGTGTAGGGCCACTCCCTGTTTATATGATAATGTCACTGTGTAGGGCCACTCCCTGTTTATATGGTAATGTCACTGTGTAGGGCCATCTCTTGTGTATATGGTAATGTCACGGTGTAGGGCCCATTCCTGTTTATATGGAAAGGCTTAGTGTAGGGCCACTTCCTGTTTATATGGTAATGTCACTGTGTAGGTTTATATGGGAATGTCACTGTGTAGGGCCACTCCCTGTTTATATGGTAATGTCACTGTGTAGGGCCCATTCCTGGTTATATGGAAAGTCTTAGTGTAGGGCCACTTCCTGTTTATATGGTAATGTCACTGGGTAGAGCCACTTCCTGTTTTTGGTAATGTCACTGTGTAGTGCCACTTCCTGTTTATATGGGAATGTCTCAGTTTAGAGCCCATTCCTGTTTATATGGTAATGTCACTGTTTAGGGCCACTTCCTGTTTATATGGGAATGTCATTGTGTAGGGCCACTTCTTGTTTAGGTAATGTCACTGTGTAGGGCCACTTCCCGTTTTTATGGGAATGTCATCCTGTTTGTTAGAGAATTTCACTGTGGAGGGCCACTTCTTGTTTATATGGGAATCTCACTGTGTAGGGCCACTTCCTGTTTATATGGGAATGTCGCAGTTTAGAGCCCATTCCTGTTTATATGGTAATGTCACTGTTTAGGGCCACTTCCTGTTTATATGGGAATGTCATTGTGTAGGGCCACTTCTTGTTTAGGTAATGTCACTGTGTAGGGCCACTTCCCGTTTTTATGGGAATGTTTCTGTGTAGGGCCACTTCCTGTTTATATGGGAGTGTCACTGTGGAGGGCCACTTCCCGTTTATATGGGAATGTCACTGTGTAGGGCCACTTTCTGTTTATATGGGAATGTCATTGTGTAGGGCCACTCCCTGTTTATATGGGAATGTCACTGTGGAGGGCCACTTCCTGTTTATATGGTAATGTCACTGTGGAGGGCCATCTCTTGTGTATATGGTAATGTCACTGTGTAGGGCCCATTCCTGTTTATATGGAAAGTCTTAGTGTAGGGCCACTTCCTGTTTATATGGTAATGTCACTGTGTAGAGCCACTTCCTGTTTTTGGTAATGTCACTGTGTAGGGCCACTTCCTGTTTATATGGGAATGTCACTGTGGAGGGCCACCTCTTGTGTATATGGGAATGTCTTAGTGTAGGGCCCATTCCTGTTTATATGGTAATGTCACTGTGGAGGGCCATCTCTTGTGTATATGGGAATGTCACTGTGTAGGGCCACTTTCTGTTTATATGGGAATGTCACTGTGTAGGGCCACTTCCCGTTTTTATGGGAATGTTTCTGTGTAGGGCCACTTCCTGTTTATATGGGAATGTCTTAGTGTAGGGCCCATTCCTGTTTATATGGTAATGTCACTGTGGAGGGCCACTTCACGTTTATATGGGAATGTCACTGTGTAGGGCCACTCTCCGTTTATATGGGAATGTCACTGTGTAGGGCCCATTCCAGTTTATATGGGAATGTCACTGTGGAGGGCCACTTCCTGTCTATATGGTAATGTCACTGTGTAGGGCCACTTCCTGTTTTATGGGAATGTCACTGTGTAGGGCCCATTCCTGTTTATATGGTAATGTCACTGTGGAGGGCCACCTCTTGTGTATATGGGAATGTGTCTGTGTAGGGCCACTTCCTGTTTATATGGGAGTGTCACTGTGGAGGGCCACTTCCCGTTTATATGGGAATGTCACTGTGTAGGGCCACTTCCTGTTTATATGGGAATGTCTCAGTTTAGAGCCACTTTCTGTTTATATGGGAGTGTCTCGGTGGAGGACTACTTCTTGTTTAGATGGGAATGTCACTGTGGAGGTTCACTTCCTGTTTATATGGGAATGTCACTGTGGAGGGCCACTTCCTGTTTATATGGGAATGTCTCAGTTTAGAGCCACTTCCTGTTTATATGGGAGTGTCTCGGTGGAGGACTACTTCTTGTTTAAATAGGAATGCCACTGTTGAGGGCCACTTCCTGTTTACATGGGAATGTCTCGGTGAAGGACTACTTCTTGTTTAAATAGGAATGTAACTGTTGAGGGCCACTTCCTGTTTCCATGGGAATGTCTCAGTTTAGAGCCACTTCCTGTTTATATGGGAGTGTCTCAGTGGAGGACTACTTGTTTAGATGGGAATGTTACTGTGGAGGGCCACTTCCTGTTTATATGGGAATGTCTCAGTTAGAGCCACTTTCTGTTTATATGGGAGTGTCTCAGTGGAGGACTACTTCTTGTTTAGATAGGAATGTCACTGTGGAGGGCCACTTCCTGTTTATATGGGAATGTCACTGTGGAGGGCCACTTCCTGTTTATATGGGAATGTCATTGTGTAGGGCCACTTCTTGTTTATATGGGAATGTCACTGTGGAGGGCCACTCCCTGTTTATATGGGAATGTCACTGTGGAGGGTCACTTCCTGTTTATATGGGAATGTCTCAGTTTAGAGCCACTTCCTGTTTATATGGGAGTGTCTCGGTGGAGGACTACTTGTTTAGATGGGAATGTCTCCAAAATATTATGAAAGGTTTTGACTGCAAATCTTCAACCAAATACAGTAATATATTATTATGAGGCCCACTTTTGTATATCCTCAGTTATATAGCCTCTGACATGTTCCTGTTGGTCTGTATGGTTACTTGACTAGATAGAAAAAATCTCTTTATAGCTGACTTTACTGCATTTCAAAAACGGTAAAAAAAAGCGTATTATGATGGTGATGACTTTTATTTTTATTTATTGTTATCAATTTTAACTCATTTACCCCTAAAGACACATTTGAGCTCTTCCAATTCAAAGGTTGGAATAGTTCATTATGAAATTTCAGGGGTGAAGCAGTTAATCTTATTTTATGAAACATGTAACAGAAGCATGAAAATGAAGAAGGTAGAAAGTCCCTTTAGTATGTAATGATGATAGTTTGGTTGGACATCTTATACTTTTCATTTTCATTTAGAATCAGCTTGATTATCTACAAAACGTTTTTTGTGATTCTAGTTACAGATATCGCGGTCAAACACTGTGGTGGCAGAAATGGAAAGTCCGGCCAAACCCTCCAGTGACAAGGTCAAAGATATGCAACGTTATGCAAAGGTCCACAACCCCCAGGGCACGTCCTTCAAACAGGAGAGTAGGATACGCCTCGGACAGTCTTTCCAGCGAAAAGTCAGCATACCTGCTAGTCGAGCATATCTGGCTAAGGAGGAACCTGTTGATGGTCTTTGTGTCAAAGGTCAAACTGGATCTTCCAGGAAAAATCCTACATATTCTAGTGCCTCGTTTTGGAGAGATAAAACTGACATGGACAAAGTAAGGGCCATGAATGGTCACAACTCATCATACCTAGCCTCGGATCACTCTTCACCTTCACGGGGCACCCCCGAGTCCCATAGGGAGGTAGAGGAGGGGGCGACACCTGGTGTGGAGGAACAGGGGGACGCAACTCCCAGGGACAGTAAGCTTGTTGATGTTCTCAAGGAGAACAGCAATAAAATGCAACACAAACCTGCAGACAAGTTTCGGCGCGGAAAATTAGTTGGTTCAAGGAGCCAAAGCTTTGATGACAATAGTACAGTGATGTTGAAAATAGAACCACGAGGAGTTTCTATCAGTACCAAGGATAGCGGGATGTCACAAGTACGGTAGAGTCTGGACTCACCAAAACGTGTGGGACGTTCCAGGTGTCAGTCCGCACACTGCAGCTCGGGTGTTGATATTTACCTTAAACGATGCGTTAACCTCTCTAACCAGAAGACCATGGGACACTTCTGAAGGGAATCTTCAGAGTTGTCCTGCTTTGTTACTCAGAGTGAAATAATTGTAATACAAGGTGTTCTTCCTGAGATATTTATTTGGCTTTACTAGAATACTCTGTTATTGATATTTCATATTGTTCTTCATGTACCAGGCTATAAAAGCTATGTAATGAATCAGATTATTCATATGCATGAAACAGTCCATGTAATTAATGCAAGTCCAGTAATACATAGCTATGACTAAATAAATATTTCGGGAAGTACCTGTTCAGCTCACATAACTAATGTAGTCTTGCCATGTAGACCTATAGCTTATATTGACATGATGTGGATTGCTGTTTCCAATGTTAAACTCACAGTTTTTAATAGGTAGTCGTGTCTGCCATTTACTCATCAAACTTAACAGAGTTGTGTTTCTAGTACTAAGCATGCATACCAGTAATGTTTCTTATTGATAAAAGTTGCCATAGAAATTCATGCCAAGTGCTTGCATGATAAACATGTAAAAGTACTGGAAAAATCCTATATACCATACAACAATGACAGAAAGAGACTTGATATTGCCAAAAAGTATTATAGAATTTCTACATTGTTCATCACTACCAGAGTTTTTGTATTTTACAATGTTATGGTAACTTAGGTCATCTCCCCTGATCTTACAGATCTTTCATGTGGTCATCAGTTTGACCAGTCTGGTCTTTTCAACAAGACTTTCCTTCTCATAGGAACATTTCAGAGTGAGATTTCAAACGACCTGGCACCGTTATTATGTACCATTATATAACAGTAGTGACACTTGAGTAGAACACTGTTTGAACTGGTATTCAGACCAGAGTATGATAGTAGAAGATGCGTGATATTTTGCTCAATGGTTAGATAATAATAAGTTCATGAAAAATCATTACTGTATTTATCCTCCAATAGGCCCAAGGGGGCCAAGACATATTCTCTGACTTTCAATAGGGCTTAATTGTTTGATTATTAAATAAGAAGTGAGCTTATTACCAGGCATGGACTTATTTGACACATCACTCCATTACTTGTATTTTACAAATGCCATGGCAATCCTTCAAAAAGGATGAGCAGTTCTTTGTTTTGCCATATTTCAAAAACTCGAAAAGAATATTGCCGCCACCACTTAGTTCCTTCGGTTTGCATTTATTATGCATAATGACACCACATTTTGGATTTAGAAGTTTTGAGTTGACATTCTGATATGTTGACATTGAACTCCAACTAACACAAGTTCAGTATTTATATCTAGCTCCTTCAGACAGAATAATGATATCATAAGATCTTTTAATAGAACATCTGTCTTCCAAATAACAGTCACTGGTTTCAGACATGGACTTTTCATTCAAAATTTTGATACATTCTGGACTGGAACTGTTATAGCAGGACACATCAAAAGCTGAAGGCAGTTTCTTCCGTTGTTGGTTTGACCTTTTGTCCTTGTCACTCTTGTGAAGAATGGGTTATTGTTTAAACCTGGAAAATACACTTGTCGTTACTCAAACTTAACCTGTCAAACCAAGGATCAATGATGTTTGACCTTGTTAAAAATACACATACACAAACCCTGATGTAATGTTACACAGTAGATCATATCCACATTTTAAGAGCTGATTTTGTATTGTGATAACACACACCATGTGTTACCAGAAAAATAAAACATGACTTTGAAGCTAGGGCAGGATGCTCCTCATCTACATGCTTCTCTAGAAATCCTGACCCCTGCTGTTAACAGTGTTGTACAAGGTCACTTAGTTCACTTAAGGATATATGCCGCCTTATGGTCAAAAGAGCTCCATATGCAGTTCAGTTAATTCAATTCTTTTTTTTATGGATATAAGTTGATGATATTATGCAATTATCAACCTTTGCATTGATTTCAGGTTAAATGCGATTGATTATACAGACGAAATCTTGCCCAGGTCTGTATATAGTCACATGTAAACTGAAATTAAAAGTCAGTAGCTTCTTTATTATGATTCAACAAGTTGAAACAGGAAGAAGTAATAAACAAAAAACAAAATTTGAAGTTTCAAGTTTATTAATGATTATTGTGTAGAGTACAAACTCAACAATCATTGAATGTTTACAGATATCAGTGAGTGGCCTGTATCATTGAATGTTTACAGATATCAGTGAGTGGCCTGTGTCATTGAATGTTTACAGATATCAGTGAGTGGCCTGTATCATCGAATGTTTACAGATATCAGTGAGTGGCCTGTGTCATTGAATGTTTACAGATATCAGTGAGTAGCCTGTGTCATTGAATGTTTACAGATATCAGTGAGTGGCCTGCTTTTAGTAATTGTGTGTTGTTATTGATGTCAAATAGATTGTTTTCTTAATATCAGCTGTCTCCATCACTGGTAAATGTTCATCCCCCGTCCCCTTGCCCTGGTACTTAAGTTTTTGCAGACAGAGTCAAACATATTTGATTCCCTGCGGTCGGGTCTATAGACAATATCTATATCTCATAAACCTTCAACAGACTTTAAATGCCTGTTCAGTCCATTCTGGATAGCAATCAACCTTGTTTTCTTCAACAACGCCATTCTCCTGTCTGACTTCAACATGAAATGTGCTGACAGCTTTATCCAAGACTTTCCTGTCAAACCTTTTAAATGCAGGTGACTGTCCTTATATCATTGCGAAATTGTAACTATGCAGGCGTGCCATGGAACTTTTAGTGTTTCTTTAGGTGTTCAGCGAGTCCTTCTGCATCAGAATTGTGTGCATTTCCTGGTTTATGGTAGGAAATCTTTCTTTTTGACCAGACTGCAATCTGCCATCTTTGTGCTTGCAAATAAAATATACTCATATTTGTCTTGTTCCCTGATTGGCTAATATCTTATTAAAGGTATCATCTGATTAGCTATTATCTGAATCTGAGAGTGGACTTCTCTTAGCTAATTTTAGCACACAGGTATTCTCACTGTCTTAATTTTTTTTATCTTGGAGCGGACATTGCACGCTTTGGTGACTGTACAAGAATTATGAAGTTGACTAATCAGAGTTAAGCATAATTGATGGTCAATGGAGATTGTCTAACATAAGGATTTATATCAAGGAATCTTATCTAACATGAAGTTTATATCAGGTAGATTGTCTAACATGCAAGATTATATTAAGGGAGATTGCCTAACATTGCCAATCATGGTCCAATAACAGGTATAAAGTGTAAGGTGGCATGCATCCTTAATGTCAAATAGGTAGGTTGTAGACATAAATATACTTAATGACAATCATTGGTCAGTATCATCTGTTTTATTGTCGATCATTGGTCAATTCTTATAACCTACACAAAGCTAGTATAGGTAGGTTACAAGCATACACTGTCAATTATTGGTCAATACAATATGTTTTATTGTCAATCATTGGTCAATATTATGTTTTTTTGTCAATCATTGATCAATTCATAAAACAATATCAACATGCACAAAATCACTGAAAAACAGGACATGGTACTAACATTAATTGGTCATGATCAACTCTTACCCCAAACCACCCAGTGTAACCTACACAAGGTCACCGAAGGTTAAGACTGTAAGGACACTCTAGGATATTTATGTACCCCCAGATTACATTAATAATCACACATTTGTGAAGTTGTAAACTTGTGAGTTTTACCGTTTTATACAATATGCATGAAAAAACACTATTTATAGATTTGTTTTATTATAACTTACACTACTTTATAAGGACATTTACTTATCATATATATATACAATGATAATGTGTGATATTCGTTTTTTTGTGACGTATGTTACATTCATGCTGATCAGACTGTGATATACATTTTATAGAAATAAATGTTTACAAGAGCTAATACTTCCTAGTTCTGTGTGCATGTGCATGACCAATCTTACCTAGGCTGTAGATCATTAATGTACTACCAGTCAGCCCGGTCTGTAAATCATTAATGTATTACCAGTCAGTCCAGGGTGTAGATCATTTATGTATTATCAGCCATGCCTGGCTGTAGATCATTAATGTATTACCAGTCAGGCCAGGCTGTAAATCATTAATGTATTACCAGTCAGGCCTGGCTGTAGGTCATTAATGTATTATCAGCCATGCCTGCAGAATGTAGATCATTAATGTATTACAAGTCAGGCCAGGCTGTAAATCATTAATGTATTACCAGTCAGGCCTGGCTGTAGATCATTAATGTATTACCAGTCAGGCCGTGCTGTAGACCATTAATATATTACAAGTCAGGCCTGGCTGTAGATCATTAATGTATCACCAGTCAAACCAGGCTGTAAATCATTAATGTATTACCAGTCAGGCCTGGCTGTAGGTCATTAATGTATTACCAGTCAGGCCAGGCTGTAGGTCATTAATGTATTACAAGTCAGGCCAGGCTGTAGATCATTAATGCATTACCAGTCAGGCCTGGCTGTAGATCATTAATATATTACAAGTCAGGCCTGGCTGTAGAGCATTAATGTATCACCAGTCAAACCAGGCTGTAAATCATTAATGTATTACCAGTCAGGCCTGGCTGTAAATCATTAATGTATTACCAGTCAGGCCTGCAGGCTGTAGATCATTAATGTATTACCAGTCAGTCCTGGCTGTAGATCATTAATGTATTACCAGTCGGGCCAGGCTGTAGATCATTAATGTATTACCAGTCGGGCCAGGCTGTAGATCATTAATGTATTACCAGTCGGGCCAGGCTGTAGATCATTAATGTATTACCAGTCGGGCCAGGCTGTAGCTCATTAATGTATTACCAGTCGGGCCAGGCTGTAGCTCATTAATGTATTACCAGTCAGGCCAGGCGGTAGATCATTAATGTATTACCAGTCAGGCCAGGCCGTAGATCATTAATGTATTACCAGTCAGGCCTGGCTGTAAATCATTAATGTATTACCAGTCAGTCCAGGCTGTAGATCATTAATGTATTACCAGTCAAGCCTGCAGTTTCATAAATGGCTTCTTCATAACAATTTATCCTTACCTTAACAAGCAGTCACAATGGAAACTGATTAATATTTATTGAATGCTGTATAATGAAAATATTTTTCTTATTTATAAAATGAACAATGACATACATATTAAGGGATTCATAATTTATTGAAAATAATTACTGTACTTACTTTCAAGACTAAATTCAGTTAGTTTAAATGTTTTAATTTTCATCCAGGACAAAATATGTAAATTTTTCTGCATATGAATATACACACAACTATTTCTGTAATTTCACACAGAGTTTGAGAAGAATAAAAGAATTATCAATGGCCTTTTACACTAGAAACAGGAGACTGAACGTAACAATATATATTATTACAATATAACCAGCTGCCTAAGCACCATTGAAAAACAGGACAGCAGTAATGTCACAAGCTGGCATTGACAGAGCCTCATAATTATGTGGTGACTAGAAACAACAGTATACATTGCATCCCCATTAGCGGGTGTGATGACATCAAAGGCTGGGTCAGAGGTCACATTGCCATGCCTTTACAATAGCTGATTTGTCCTTTTGATAAGGCAGGCGGGAGGGTGCAGCAGGAAGTGCATCTAATGGTACAACTGTTCAGCAATGTCATTCTCACATTACTGGAAACAATGTTATTTCGACCAATAAAGTGCAAATTATAATAAGTGCTGCCTGAACGAGGTTAAAGGTCAAAGCCATAGATAGGCTACAAATGAGGAGGTAGCATCGGACCTAGATCCAATCCACACAGTAAATGGTAAATGTTTTTTGACCACACATCTTTAAAGAGTCCGTTAAAAATCGCCATTATATGTTTATCTATGCGTATGAAGTTGTTGGCTGTACATTGGTAAAGTTACCGGTTGACATGCGAGACTCGAAATGTCGTGAACCTTCACGAAAACGTGTCATTACAAGGGGGACGGACAAGTGTAACCCGCTCAGCTCTTGACAGCGAATTATCATTGATACAGGAGCAAGTTACTAGTTTCTGATCTCTTATTCCATATTTTATAAGTTCGCTGATAATAGCCTTTCTGTAGCAGCCCGCTGCGGAAGCTGAGCGTGGCGGGGTGAGAGCCCCTCTCCGGGTCGTTAGCCTCAGTATCTCCCGGCCCCGCCCCATCGCTCGTGATGTCACAGCACGTGCTCCCAGCCGGGATTAGGGGTCGATCGCGAGGGTGAGACGCCTTTATGTAATATATGGAGACCGTGACTGGATCCCCACAGTAAATGCTTTCACTGCCCCCAACCTTAATATCTAATTCAATTACGTATTTTTGTTGGAGAGCTCTCCCCTTAATGGATTTTCCAGGAAGAAATACCACGGAGATGACAGCGATGTAATTTATAGGTTCATGCGGCGCTAATTAAAGGTGAAAGTATAAACTTTATAGTAAAGAATCCCTAATGAATGATCGGCCACAGTCGTTGGATAGCAGACTCCAGCTGACTGGCTTATTCCATGGCGGTGCGGTTTGCGGTTGTGGTTCCATCGTGTGTCGTTCTATAGTGCTGAATATTTTGTAGAGAGACCGACAATTCATACATGTATGCACGTGGATTGCATGTTGCGCAAGCCATTGACTTTACCATATGTCACAAATACGCAAGAAGATAGTACCGGTAACATTTTATTAATTAGAGTAAAATCTTTTAAACAAATTAACCGGTGGCTATTATTCCTGTGCTAACTACAGGGCTATCGTGTTACGAAATCCCTTCTGACCGTGCCACATCCTTGTATCAGTCTTGTACTCGGAGGGTCGTCGCTTTTTCATGCTATATACATCACCCGTAACGTTGGTAAGCCTCCGTAATGAGTGGTTCTACCCGTAATCTGATACACCGATATCTAACGAGTCGCTCGGCGCTGACGTCACGTACATGTGTACCTTCCATATATGGAATGCCCGTGCATTTCGTTGTAAAAATGGATGGAGACGCCGAAAAGTCGTTTCTTAATAGGCTTTAACTCCTAAGGGTACAATCTTTGTCAACGGAATATTGGATATTGCATATTTAGACAAAACATATCCAAAGCTGCACACAAAACCAGTTGATAGGAATATAATTATAACCTAACACTGACTTATTTGGTGGTAGGAGGAATGTTATATCCGGATTTTACCTGTCGATTGCACGAGTTGACAGTTGTGGATCGTGCGACATACGGACATGTCACACATGTCGACATACGGGCATGTCACACATGTCGACATTGACGTTTATCTGTCTGAATATTTATTTTCATAAATTTTTGCATGAGATTCCCTAATCGGAACACACATATGTAAATGTTTAGGGGAGACCTGTGTCCAGATTGTAACCAATGTCACACGGTGAACCGTTACACCAGCATGGCGTATCACACATTTCTCTTCCAAGGAATTTATTATTCATTTCCACGTTTTTTTAACTAGCGTATTCGATCAATAATACGTTAATACGAGGTTTGTATCTTTGTCATAACGAGACCTGATTGAATTAGGCCTGTAATTATGTGGTTTCGTCGTATCCCGTTTCTCGAGTGTTCTACTCTCATTGGCGCCACAGTGTGCCATGACATCACATTGTCCACCGTTACCAACAACCTTTGTTCAGCCGCAGAAACTCCGCCCCACAATGCAGCATCCTTTATTAAAGAAATGTCTTTTTTCTTTGTTCGTTACCCCAGGGGTTAGCCAAAAACCGTCCCGTGCAGCGCGAACAGCTGAGTTCGGCATTATGTCGAATATGTGATTAATATCCTCGAGACCTCAAAAAATAATGTTGAAGAATTATTTAGGCATCATTCAAATCTCATTATAAAGGAAACATAATTTGCATGACAGAAAATTATGTTGCCAAGGGCCATGTATTCGAAATACACGTCTTTGAAGGATTCTCCGATTAGGCTACTGTTTTAAAACCCGCTGAAAATGTATGTAACCATTTCTGGTCTTAACTTGCGGTCTTACGCAAGCCGAACCGCAACGTCATTCTCTGCACTTGTCGGTCTTCCCTCCATTAATAAAAATGAAAGCCCGAGTTAGAATATTTAATGAAGGATATTTTGTATTCCTTTAGATCGATAATGTGGTTTTAGAGGAAGCTGTAAGGGGCTGGAGTGGTGAGAGATATGTATGGCCTCCCCGACCGCACGTGCAGTTCTGGTCGGAGGCTAGATCGTAAGCGCGCGTGTAGGTCTTGCGTCATACTATCAGTAATCCAATCCCCCGAAAGTTAGTAGAGAAATCTTACATATCGAAATAGAAGATTTTAAAAGAAAATAATTTGCTTTTGTCGACGTTTAATAACTTATTTTGATTCACTGAAATTATTACACGTCAGCGCTTATTGCATAACGTTAAAGAGAGAAAGTGAAAAAGGCAGAAAATTAGCTGTGTGCATTTGTAGGTTGCTGTTGAAGAGCCATTTGAAGTCTTGGGCATATTTGCTTAGTAATTTGGTGATAGCCAGTCCATTCGCCTCGCGTCGGTGTTAGAAAAGCTATTGGCTTTTCCAGTGAAATGGTTTCCAAAACGCTTCATCGATATGTTGCAATTCAAACAGAATTAGTTTATTATTGAAGGTCTATTTTCAGTTCTTGTTTAAACAAACGAACCGGTATTAATTTTCCCTCATTGTGGTTGAAATAATAAAAGCAAGGAATTATGGTGACGGGACAAGGCGCAATAAGCAGAACAAGTATTGCGAGGTCAACAGTCATTCATAAACCATGCCTGTTCGCCGGGCCGCAATGCTATTGACTTAGTTCTGTTTAGCCTTCAAGTTTCACGTTAATTTCGATCTCAGATTGTGTCATCGTTGTGCTGTTTTTTTATGGAATTGGCGAATGCATTATTAGGTTTTGTTTGAGGTGGGGCTGATGGAAGGACACCAGATGCTG